CTTTAAATAAAATTTGATGTTACATGTGATTAAAAAGTTAACAAAGTTATGAATTACATGAAATTAGTGGTTAAGATTTAAATTTGACTAGTTAAAAGTTGATAAAACTTCATTCAAGTTTTATTAAACAAGGTGTTAATTGTTTCTGAAACAATGTCCATGTTTCCAATGTCAAGATTTACATGTCTTCACGTGCAGTTCAAATTCATTTGTTTTAATTATAGATTACGTATGTACATAAAAAATTATTAAATAAATGGAAGCAAAATTTTTATACAATAAAACCATGAGTACAAGAAAACCTTAACAGAACTTGTACCGATATTGATGTGGCAAAAGATTATGGGACTACTTTTTTTTTTCCCTATCTTTCAATGATGTCATGCCATGTGTTATCTGTAAGATTTTTTCGTCAAAAAATTCTGTATATGTAGCATTGTTCATTTTTATACTCCGTAAGCCATCTCAATTATGGATAGTTTGTTCAACGTGCTTAACATATGTCAAAGTATGCTTAAATTAAATGACTTGAGTTCACATCTTGCACGTATCTTTTTTTTGTAAAAAAAGAAAAAAAATCACATTAAAAAACGTGTTAAAACTAAAAATGTGCAAGCGTTCACTATCCATTGAAATTCTTAAATCAGGAATTTAACAAATAAATAAGTCCAGATGGCTATATACGCAATTGCAATTCTTTTATTTATTTATTTTGGTATAAAAAATTCCATGATGTCAGAAGAAAGGTTAATTAATGGATCTTCCTTTGTAATGTCCTACATTATGTTGTCCTTATTCACCTAATATTATCATTTATCAAACACATTGATTCACAAGAATAGTTTCAATATACTCATATGTAACGATTCCGTCATTTTGACACAAACTCTAATAAATTTTCAGGGATTCCGCATGTTAAGAGATCAATCTTACAAGAAAGACTAGAAATTAAATTTTTCATTGATTATTATCTTCGTATTTATACAATAAAGATTTTACTTTTAGTCCCTATTTGGGTTAAACTAAAAATCTTGATAAAAATTTAAATTCAAGTGAACATTTAATTTTAGTTATATATTATATTAGATCCACAATCATTATTCAACCACACATTTCATCAATTTTTAACAAAATTTATTAAAAATAAAATTTTCAGCAAGACCAAATCAGGATTTAATATATCCCATAAGATGGTGAGTTGTTCAAGAATGTAATTATATAAACTTGTTTGAGTTAGACACATGGACTTGTGCATTTGAACTTCTAAATTTAAGTTCTTTCATCTTGAAAAGATTAATCTGGTTAATAAACTGTCAAAATATTATAATTAGCATGAAATCACTATTTTTATTATTATTTTAATTTTCGCGAAGAAAAATAATCCATATATTTGTTAAGAATTTATATTTAATGGCAGATTTTTCTGCCATAAAAAAAAAAGGCATATTTGCATTTACAAAAAATATGCAGAAGTATGTGTGAACATATCTAAATATAAGGAAACATTAACCGTATTTTGCACGAATGAAATATGATCATTATCAAAATATTTACTTTACACAGTAAAGAAATGTGAGAAATATAACAATATTAAAAACCATATGGAAACATATAATAGACTTGAAAACATATGCCTTAGCCCTAACCATATTTAAATCCACAAATTATTGTATTTACGAGCGGTAAAATTAGGTTGGATACACAATTAATTAGATAAGTTGTAACTAGAAATTTAAGAGAATAGAATAAGTCGTCGAGAAGCATGAACCGCATGGTTAAGGAGATTAATCGTCGAGTTGTTTTGACAATGTGAATATGACATTTTGCGATTTCACAGCTCTATCATCCTCGGCAGTACGCGAAGGCGTGAAAGATAAGATAGGTACCCTAATTAACTGTTAAAGAAATGGGCTACCTCACTATTTCTTTATTGGGCCTTATTACTTAAAATTGTCGGAGGCTCAGTCCTTTAACAATGTTGCATTTTGAAAGAACGTTTTCTCACGCCTTGTATGGAAGAGTGTGTGCCGTACACGTGGCACACTCTCAACCATTGGATGAAGTTGGTTTTGAAACTGTGTTTTTCATTTACTTCACTTGACCCTTGGCCTTTCGTCTGGCTTGGCTTTTACACTGGTTTTCTAGAATACTCTTCTCTCTCTCTCTCTCTCTGTGTGCGAGGGTTTTCTTCGTGATCTTTTCTCTTTGAAAATGAAACAAATCTTTGTGATATAATTTCTTCTTCTGTTAGAAAGGAAAGTAGTAATGATCTGAGTAATCATTTGAGAGGAATTTTGTAATAAGAAAAGAGGCTAGATAGATCGAAGAAATCATTTGTACGATTTCTTTGTGAAACTTAGTGAATCTTGAGCATACTCTTGATCGAGGCTCAACGGGTGATTAGGTTCTGTTAGGATTTTTACCATCTCCCATGTCCAATGATCATTCAAAGATTTGCATAACCAGACAAGAATGAAAATGCAGTAGAAATGGCAAAATATAAAACCAGCAAAGAATTCAGATAAAAGACAAAAGAATTTCAGGTTTTTCGGGACAATTTTTCTTCAACCATTGCAGGGATTTAACCCCCATTTAATCTGCCATTAAAAGAGGAATATTACAATGTTGTTTTACACAAAAACCAGCACTTATCACTCACCCGAGAACAACTAGAAACTTCACCCAGAAAGTTACAGAAAGTTTACAAGGATTGCATGCAGAGAGCTTTCTCTCTCAATCCTACTTTCACTCTCTACAGAAAATGTGTTCCCCACATTCTCTTGCTCACCCATTCACGTATCAGCCTCTCTATCCTATTTATAGGCATGGGACTTGTAGAGATATACAAGAAAATGTATGAGACTTAGTTAAAACTAATACCAGAAAACTTGTTAGAATCTAAGGCTCCTAACTGATTTTCTAACTCACTAACTAATTTTCTAACTAATGAGTTTAACCAACCGAATCAAGAATCAACATTTTCTCTTCATTCTCCACCTTTGAGTCTTGATGAGTGTTGTTAAACCGAGATTGACTAAAAACACTTTAACACCCTGCATGGTTGATCATCCAGTTTTAACTTCAGCAATCCAATGCCTCATGCATCTTGCTAACTGGATTATTTTTCGGCGAGCAAATCAGCAAAACAGCATGACCAACTTCAGTGGCTGCCTTGACAACTTCAACTTCCCTCTTGGAAATTACTTCTTGCACACAAAAGACTTCAAATTTCTCCTGCTTGTGGCACTTTGGACAGGCAAGACTTCCTCTAACTTTAGCTTCATCATCTGCATCCTCCTTTTGCAGATTACCAGCTCCACCTTCTTGGTCATTTTTCTGGTTATTTTCCCTGTGATGTGTCCAACACAACCTGCTCCTCTTTGTTTTCAAACATGGCAGCTTCATTGACTTTATTTCCCTGTAAAACATGGAACAGTCCCTTCACCACAACCAAGAATCCTTTCATAACATCTGGTGCTCCACCTTGAGCCTTGTAGATCCAACCAGATTCAACCACAGCTCCAAGTGAGATCAAATTCCTCTCAAGATCATCCCACATTTTCAGCTTAATAACTCCAACATCCACTACATCACAGGTGTTGTTATTTCCCAGCAAAACTTTGCTCACATGATCTGGTTTATACTCTAAGAAAGGATTTCTTAATTGATCAGGCAATGAATTCAACAAGAAAATTGCTTGGTCCTCATCTTCAATCTTTATTTCAAGACTTCCCAAGTGTGCCATCATCTTTTCTTTCCACAGGTTGAAGTCATTCTTCCCATCAAACTTTTCAACTTCATACTTGAATGTGGACATCATGAAAGCAATATTCTAGCCAGAAAAATCCTCTCATGGTTGGTGTATGAACAGCTATCAGAATTTTGAAAAAGAACCTTCAAACCTTTGCAAATCTTTCACCTAGATCACAACCATGTGCTCTGATACCACTGTTAGGATTTTTACCATCTCCCATGTCCAATGATCATTCAAAGATTTGCATTACTAGACAGGAATGAAAATGCAGCAGAAATGGCAAAATATAAAACCAGCAAAGAACTCATATTAAAGATACAAGAATTTCAGGTTTTTCGGGACAATTTTTCTTCAACCATTGCAGGGATTTAACCCCCAGTCAATCTGCCATTAAAAGAGGAATATTACAATGTTGTTTTACACAAAAACTAGCACTCATCACTCACCCGAGAACAACTAGAAACTTCACCCAGAAACTTACAGAATGTTTACAAGGATTGCATGCAGAGGGCTTTCTCTCTCAGTCCTACTTTCACTCTCTACAGAAAATGTGTTCCCCACATTCTCTTGCTCACCCATTCACGTATCAGCCCCTCTATCCTATTTATAGGCATGAGACTTGTAGAGATATACAAGAAAATGTATGTAAGACTCAGTTAAAACTAATACTAGAAAACTTGTTAGAATCCAAGGCTCCTAACTAATTTTCTAACTCACTAACTAATTTCCTAACTAATGAGTTTAACCAACCGAATCAAGAATCAACATTTTCTCTTCAGGTTCTTCTAGATTGAACATCCAGGGGCATATCTGGTGTTCTTTATTTACTGTTTTTAATTTTCTGCATTTTTAATTCGTAAACCTTCAAGAAAATACGAGTTTATTGTATCTCTGGGACCAACATTAACTAAACAAATTATTTAAGTTTAAGTTTTATTTTCCAAAATCACTTTTATTGATGGTAACCGAACAACTTCACCAGTGATTGACATAACCGAGTATTTTCGCATGTGCTGTGAATTTGGACCATATTAGGTGTTGCAAAATAAAGGGCCTAACTCATAAAGCGTGTGTTCATGGAGTCGTGTTTGTTTTTTTTTTGTTTTTTTTTGAGATTGAGTTGGTGCTTAGTGTACCAAACTTTGGGCACAAGATCGAAAAGAATGCAAGGCATTTCAAGTGAAACATCCAAGATACAATGAACGACAAGAAGAATCAACAAAGATTAATCTTTAACATAGAATCGTGAGTGAAAAGTGTGAGAAAAATTCTCAACTCAATTGATATAATTAGGAGTAAAGTAGACAAGTTTCACTTTCACTTTTATTGCAGATCTAATCATAATCCACTATTTCTCTCTAAAAAATAGATTACATAAAAAATGATGCACATATGGAAGTAGTAATATAAATCAGTAAGGCAGAACCTACTGATACAACCAGTGTTACGACGGCGTATACAGGTTCACCTCCACAAGAAAGCACGCCCAGTTTCACTTGAACGAAATCCACAATCGAAAGCATCAAGAACACACATCCCAATACAGATCCAATGGCGGAACCAAACAAGGCGTATTTGTGGAAAGAAGAGTCAATATCAGCTTTATGAGGGTCAGTTGCATCTAAGCTGTTCAGCAAGTTGATTGCCAGTTTAAGACTTTGAGCTATGAGTGAGGAAAAGAGAAAGAAGCTGAACGAAATCACTTCAAAAACGATAAGTCTCCTGACTTGTTTGACGCTAGCGATGCATGACGGGTCATTCCCGGCGCTGCCGGCAGCAGGCACAGTTAGGGAGAAGCCTATGAAGATTGCCATGGTGAAGAGTGAGTTGACGTTCACTATGCCGTCGAGGGCTGTTACATGGACGGTCGTCTTGGATCTCCCCGTGGCTGCGGGGGCGGCGGCGACGGTGGTTGTAGGGTTCTGAGTGTCCAATGAAGCATTTGATTGTGACTCAATTCTGTTCAAATAACAAAAGGAATAATCAGATCTTGAAAACAAGATTTAAATGAATATAAACAGATGACTTCTCTATAAAAATAAAATTTTAATTTTCTAGACGAAATGATCATATATTGTGAGGACAGGCCGAGGTACCCATCAATGGTTGGGGATAGGGACGCCGGTTCTACATTAAGAGATGAATAATTTCTCGAGTTCCTCTGAGAGAGGCTACTTTTTGACAACATTTTGTAACAAAGATTATATTAGGAGATACTTGTAAATTGTAATGACTAATGCATTATATTGATGCTCATATATAGACTTGAGTATTCCAAAACAATAGCAAGGAAAGCCGTTTACTAATATATGTTTCATTAAAAATTATATTATCGTCTGAAGAGTGGAATCTCGCCAGAATTTTGTTTGGGATGTCATTCTTGACCATGCAATTTATCCTATAAAATATTGAACCTGCAGGTCTCCATTGGACCACGAAAGTATTGTTTAATTAAATTAACGTCAAGAAATCTTGGATTTGAATAATACAAATTTAGGGTTTGCTTGACAATGTTCTTTACAAAAAAAAATTAAAAAAAAAGTTGATAAAATGTGTAATTGAAAAGTTAATAAAATCATGAATCACATGAAATGTATAGTTAAGATTTAAATTTGACCAGTTAAAAAGTTGATAAAACTTCGTTCAAGTTTTATCAAACAAGGTCTTAATTATTTCCTAAACAATGTCCATGTTTCCAACGTCACGATTTGCATCTCTTCACGTGCAGTTCAAATTCATTTGTTTCACTTGTAGATTACATATGTACATGAAAATTTGTTAATTAAATTGAAGCAAAGTTTTTATATTCCGTCAACCATCTCAATTACGGATAGTTCGTTCAACGTGCTTCACCTATGTCAAAGTATGCTCAAATTGAAGACATGAGTTCACATCTTGCACGTATCATGTTTTTCATAAAAAAGGATAACAATAAAACGCGTGTTAAAAATAAAAATGTGCAAGCCTTCACTATCCATTGAAATTCTTAAATCGGGAATTTAACAAATAAATAAGTCCAGATGGCTATATACACAATTAAATTAGATATATAAAATCCATCTTGAAACCCAAGTGTTGTCTTCATTTAGCTAAGTTTGGTGTGATTAGTATTCTTAATATATAATACCCATCAAGGTAATTGCTTCCATTTTCTATCTAGCCTCCTCCAATAGATCAGAAAGAAGAAGATAAGGTTTCAATTAATACTTGCTTGGCAAATCTTTGGCTTTGTTTGTCTACGATTTCACCACATTATTTTTTCCACAGTACTCATTTTTCAACCACACATTTTTATTAAAATAATATCTCACGTAAATCAAAAACTTTTCTTTCGTTTTTAACCACATATTTCAATATCAATCACCATTCCATAATACATTATTCACAAATAATGAGGCACAAACATCCCCTTTATTTATTTTTTAAGCGGTCATTGCAATTTACTTTCCACTTATTGTTCACACATTTCGTAAGATATACAACTTATAAGCACTACCAAACAAGTACTTCGATATAATCGAAACTCACATTGAAACTGAAGCTGTGCCGACAATAATATTAATGACCAAAGGAAATTAGTTGTTTAACCCTTTCATCTCCAAAAACACATGCTACCAACTATCCTCTGGAAAAGTAAAATATTGAACACGCGAATTTGATGCATTCAACTTGTAATTAAATATATGTGAATGACAATGTTTTAAAGTAATTTCTGCATAGTGGGGTTGTACCTAACGTGGGATTAGCAGCCAGTAATTTGTTGTCAAGTGCATCTGAGCCGGCTTGATCACATGTCTCCACTACTGACTAATATATTTTAAGTAAAAATTGAGAAGGATTGATTTGTGCATAAGCGTTTCTTGAATCTTGACCTTGAAAACACAAACGATGATAACTTAGTTCACGATTATGGAAAATGCTTTTCTTGAATCTTGACCTCGAAAATACAAAAACGAAGACAACTTAGTTCACGACCATGAAAAATCATTGTATAATAGAAATCAGAATAACAAATATGCAATAATGACAAAGTATAAAAGAACACGTTCTTAATTTTATGGAGAAATTACTGGATTAAATCTCATCAATGTAGTTGTCTCACCATCAAAAGCATAGCCATCTATCTGATTTCTTAATGGTATATCCCTTTCTCGACTACGCTACTTGTTCAGGGCTTGTCACGGACTTCATATGTACCTCGTGAAGTCGGGTGAGGGTTTTATCGGAGTGCGGGTTGGTTGAAGGTGGCTCTAGCCAATTTGTACCTCATGAAGCGAAAAAAGTGGTCCACGAGCTAGCTTTTTTTACGTGTTTTCATCTGTTTTTATGTAATTGAGTAAATTGTATTCCATTATTTCTCGCACATGATCTCGTGCAACGATATTAGTTCTCTTCCTTCAATCAGGCCTCAAAGAAGGAAGGATTCGAGAAGAAATATGTTTTCTCTTCCTTTTAACTTTTATTATTTTCTTCGTTGTAGTTTTCTCTGTAATCAGAGGGCCTAAAGCTGTTAAAGGGTTCAGATTTGGGCAATTCGATATTGAAACTGTGAAGATATCTAAGCATTCATTGAAGGAATGTTTCTTGAAAGGGACTATTCCTCAACGTTCTTTATCAATACTGAATTCAGTCATTGCTGTATGTAAATGGTCGACAGATCTTTTCCCAGAAAAGATGTTTCAGCAAAGTCCGTGTCAATAATGGTCGGGCTAAGAACTTAATCAAGTGCAGACTAGTGCAGGTTTGGTGCAATGCCGTGCTGCCATGGTGCCTGAGGGCTAGCCAGACAGTACAAATTTGGTGGGAGGAGTGGAGGGTGTGTGGCACTTCTTGGTGTAGCTAATTGACTTTGGGATTGATTTTAGGCAGGTTTTTGGCTAAGGTTTAGGATCAATTTCGAGTTGGGATTTCAGGTTTTATTTTTATTTTTTATTTTTTTTGGAACTTTGTTACATGTATCGAAATTCTGTAACAGAAATTCAAATCAAGGGACATATGTCTCTCAACCTACTTGTACAAAATCATCGACACAAGTAGGTTAATTGTTCTTTTTATGTTTGCACAGATTGAGTTATGTGTTCAATATCCTGGCATGGTGGCATAAGTAATGGGTCCTTGAATTTTGTTCAAATTTTCGGGTGACGGGTTGGGGGCGGGAAACACTCGGTCAACAACCAAAAAAAAATCGTTGACCCGTCAAACTGAATCATAACTATGATTTGGAAATTGTTGGTTTGGGTTCACATAGATTAAAATTTGACCATTTCAAAATCGAATCAAATCGTTTTAAAATAGATCATTTATACTTCAAGTTTCGATAATTAAAAATGGCATGAAATCCAATAGAACCGTTCACCCATTTATTTTGAAACATTTACTTATTTCATCCAAAATATATCATTTATACTTCAAATTTACTCGAACGTAGTCCCATTGTTTCTTTAATGTTGGCTATCTTATTATTTTTCACACAACTCAAGTGACATTTAACACAAGTTTTAAGCCATAGCTAATTTCAAGTTGTCTTACGATTAAAGTATGATTTTGAAATTCACGATTCTTATATGTATATAATGTTTAAGAATATCTAGCTAGAGATGAAGAAATTGAGATATATATGTTGGAAAATTACATCGATATTGTGCATATTATATTCACAAAAAATATACCGTTTATATTCACGAAATTGAAACATAATTTTGACTTACCGAATCTGGATTTGAGAAGATAAATAATAATTACGGAATCTGATTCCGAACACATGAATATGGATTCATCCATTTCCATTCTTGAATTTCAATCTTACATGAAATCAAAGAGTACTAGTTAATTTCTGAAATCAAATATGATGAAAGAAATCAGAAATAAGGAAAATTAAATAAGGAAAATTAGATACGTGTGATGTGATTAGCAGAAACAAGTGTTTGACACTCTTTAAGATGAATTTGCCCTACATCGATGCTAAAATTTTCATCAATCATCTCCCTAGGCACAACGATCATGTCAAGTCATAGGAGCACTTCAAATGATTTCGACCAACGAACTCAAACGAAATTCCCTCTCTATCATAATCATGATTTGGATACAATAAATAATCACTTCTACAAAGTATTTGATACAACGTGACATGAAATGAATGATATGGAATTTCAAATGAACTTCCAAGGGGTCCTATATATAGAAGTTGAAAGGATGCGGGTGAAGGGGCACACCCCAAATTCAGCATTTTTCATGAAAAGTTGCAACACTTCATTTCAAATTTGTATCCTTTCGAAAAGTTACAACACTTCATTCTTCCAATTTTGGATCGCCATTTCTCATTCATTCGGAATTGGTTTTGAGATTCCAAATATACCACGATGATCTGTTCGACGAGTAGAATAGTTGGACTATTTACTTTTATAATTTGACCATCGGATCAAGTTCAAATATTTGGTCGAAATTGACACGAAGTCACACATTTTCATTTTCCACTTTTACACTTAACCAATTTTCAGTTATTTTTGAATCAATTCCAATAATCCCCCATGTGAATGAAAATTCGGGCACGCATATGCAAATACAATGATATGGTGCAATATAGAGAGGGAGTGGAAAAATACTGCATTAGGAATGGTGACTTCTGGCCTTAAACCTCCCTTAGTGAAATACTATCGGACTTATTTGGCTAATTCGTGAACATAAGTTTTGAACCACTCAGTTTTTGGTGTAAGCCAAGACAACAGTACTCATACAAATATTTTCCTTATTCTGTACTTAGTTCTCATGGTTTGGTTCATTTTGGCCCTGAACTCTTCTTGGTTTCGTAAGTATTTTGAGAATTCAAGCCTTAAACAATTCTCATCGAAGCGACCCCACTTCACACTTATATAGGTGACCTCCTACTAAGAGTATTCTACCCTACTCCACTTGACTTAATCAAGATATAGGAATCATTAAAAGATAATCTTAACCTCTATCCACTCTTCAGAAAGCACTTTAGTATCATAAGAATGAGTTAGGAAATTTTTTTTTAGTGCTTCATGGAATCCTCATAACTTAGTTGTCCATTTGAATCAAGATCTTAGGGATCTCTAGTCAATAAGGTAGGGTAACCATTACAAGAACTCTAACGTAGTAGACTTCAATCTCATTCCTTTCGATATGCAGTATACTTAATCTCTCGGCAAATGGTATTATGCCTATGACTTATACGTCTAGACCTACTATTATATGTGATTTAGTATCTTATCAAATA